TCAGATCAAACTGAGGTTATTGTACTAAATCTTAGAAATGCCTTATGAAGCCAGACGCTTCCTCTGGATAGCATTACTTCAGCCTTCAGTGACACTGTAAGGAAACCTTGGAGTCATTTAAATGACTCTAAGATGACCTGCTCTACCTCCCAAAGATGGCTGTAGTCTAAAAGGCAAGAGAATGGACAAAGAATGGAAAGAGAGCATGTGTCTACTATATTGGCTCCCTGTTCAATCCAAATACAGAGATTGGTTGTAAGGGCGCCTGATGAAAAGAAGTGAAGGTAGCTTGTTTGTCTCCTCAGAAGCATCCCTCTCAAACTGCTGTCAAACCCACCGGAGACGAAGACCACAACAAGACTGAATCTGAAGACTCATTCAACGCTGACCTCCACAGGGCGGCCTCGGCAGTCTTCTCCTCCTGCCCCGACATCAGCTCACATGAGAGGAGGCGGCAGCGAGTGATAGCGAGGGAGAGGAGGGTCACGAGGACCATCCTGGCCATCATCCTGGTATTTGTCCTCACCTGGACGCCGTACAATGTCATGGCCGTTGTTGCTGCCTTCTGCCATTGCCGCATTCCTGACGCCCTGTGGACCACAGGATACTGGCTGTGCTACGTGAACAGCACTGTCAACCCCGGCTGCTATGCCCTGTGCAACGTGACCTTCAGAAAAACCTTCTGCAGCCTCCTGCGCTGCCGCTGCAGGCGGCTGTAACAGCACTGGTGTTTTTTTGTTTTGTTTTTGGCAGCTGGCTTTTTGCTTTCCTTTCATGGAGTTTGGTCCTATCGCAGGTTTCCATCTAAATGTAGAAGGAGATTTAAGATGGGCAAAACAAATGCGAACAAAAGGTTGTTTCCATCCTTGCAGCTCAGTGGTTGGTCTGACAAACAGCCGGTGGTGCAAAACGTCCTTAAATCAAAGCAGATAATGCCATCATGTCTCCATTTCCAGCTCAGATGACATGGCCTCTTATCACAATTTGGGCTGTAAATGTTTGATGTTTATGTAGTTAATTAATCCATCTACTTCCTGCTGCTTCTCCATGATGTGTTTAATGAGCAGTGACTGATGTAACAAGGCATAAATGCTGTCAAGGCTGCAGCTACTGTTCATCTTTATTATTAAGAAAGTGTTTGGTAGATGCAGCACAATAAAGGAAATAAAACGGCGTCATTACTGCTAAGAAACACGTTTAAGGCTGTGAACATGCTTATTTCTGGTAGAAAGTTTTAACATGAAAGTCTATGACTCTGCTGGAGCCTCTAGTGGACTTTGGCTGCCTCAGAGGTTGCTTGGTGGAGACCAGAAGCAGAGTTAAAGCAGATTTTTGTGTTTTTAGTTGAAACTGTAGAGGACCGAGAATAGAACCCTGAGGAACTCCTGGAGAACTTACCGACACTTTAAATGTGGAGAAGTCGATCTGTCTGCTTAAAGATTCGGGTCACTGAGTTCCTGTAGTGAACAAAGCTTGTGATTTGTGCCTCCAAACTGAACCCCGTTCTTGAATATGCATGAACCTTTTATTATTATGACAGCCATCGTGTCTGTGCACCAGTAATCACGCCAGAGTCTTCACCAAAGCAATGTACAGTCTTTATTTTGCTTATTTGTACAGTTTCATCCTGCAGCAACAATAATCTATAGTTTAAAAAATAGATTTCATAGAGGATTTTCTCAGATTCTTTAAAACTAAACTCGCCTACAAACAAACTCGTGACGATCCCGTGAGGACCAGCGTCCAGTTTAGTCTGAATTCACAGGTGGCTACTGTACAAGCTTTAGGATTATCTCAGTGTAATGGTTAACAAACTATCAGCTACGAGGATTATTCTCATCATCTAGCGGGACAGTGTCGGAAAAGCTTTAATCCAGAAAAACATCAAATCAGAAACCAGAAAAACAAGAATCAAAAGCAAGGAGAGGCGGTCGGTGTGTTTTGGAGGAGTCTCTCGTTTTGTGTATTCAAAGGAGGGAAGACGATCGTTGAGGAAGAGGACGAAACGCCGCCGTCTTCTGTCGCGGTACATCCTTCAGTTGGACTTCTTCTCGCCTGAGGAAGCAAAGCATCAGACATTCATGTTACAACATCGTTCCCCATGATGAATCCCGCACGTTTGCTCTGGTGGAGGCGAGGAAGATCAGGTTTTATCATCAGGTCTGAATCTGAAGGTGCTGCCGACCGGCCTCAGCAGCTAATGCTTCAGGTTAGCAACACCTACTGACCAATCAGATCTCTGGGAGACGGCGTTATGGCTCAGAGCTCAGATGCTTGGAGCACGAGTAAGAAACAGGTTTTTAATTCAATTCAACTTTATTTATTTAGCGCCAAATGACATCAACAGTCACCTTAAGGTGCTTTGTATTGTAAGGTAGACGCTACTATAATACACACAGAAAAACCCAACAACCATACGACCTCCTATGAGCAAGTAGGACAGTGGGAAGGAAAAACTCCTTTATTAGAGAAACGTTTTTGTCTCCTGCTGGTTTTCAGAATATTATTGTTGAGTCTTTATCTGACAGTATAACGTGGAAACTGCAGCCTTGTGCACGTGAGTTTCCAGCTGAACCAGGTGAGCCACCTTCACCTGGCCTTTAGCCCCGCCTCCTTCAGAACTTCAGTGTAGTTTTTGTAAACGCTCAGAGATTCTGATCAGGTTTGCAGAAACAGCGATTTTTGGCATCTTGTGGCTGCTTTACAAAGTCAAATGTTCTCTTTGCTTTACTCGCCTGAAATCCTTTCTAAAACCTTTCGTCTCTGTAAAAGAGTGAAGGATCCGCCTCTGACTGCACTCCAACGGCATCATTACGCTCCTCCTCCATTTTCTCGATGTTGGTGGCGTCTGAGCTCAACGTGGCTTTTTTTATTTTTAATCACGACGGTGCTGCACAGTATTGCTACGAAAGCATCATCCGAAGCTACACGTGACTTGATTGTGTCGTCGTCTGTTGCAGTGACTGTTAAAGGTTACTGAGGACTCTCACCTTTGACCTTCTTCACTTTGGGGGAGCAGGGTTTGGACACCTTGACGGTGGCCTGGCACTCGGCGTTGAACAGCGCTCGCTTCAGCGTCCCTGATCGGGTCTTGGTGTTGGTGGTGGCGTCACAGTTTCCCCACGGCCCAAACTTGTACTTGCAGTCACCTGAAAGAAGATTTGAACTTTGAACCCACAAAGCCGCCGCACGTTTCCCCCTCTGCCTCCCAGACGCATCGCTGCCAGCTTCATTTAAATTGATTCATTTTTCATTGATTGGCACATTTACATGACTTTTTGACTTCTCTGAATCATCAGTGGGATTTTTCTTTTATTCTGTAAAACCTGAATAAAGTCACAAAAATGCCAAATGTAGCAAAAATAATACAATTACAGCTCATTTATTCAAAATGAGATTGAATCTTTTCTTTCAATAAACATCCGTTTTGAAACATTTGAGTTTCCTGGTGGTTATTTCATGGCTTCACAGGGTCATTCAGTGATTTTAGTAAGAAATATGAAATATTTTTGGAGAAGCACGAACGATCCACATCCGAACCAAAGAGTAAAACAGTGAAATGTGGATTATTAAATATCAGGTCTCTCTCCTCCAAGTCTCTGTTAGTACATGACTTAATAATTGATCAACAAATCGATTTACTCTGCCTTACAGAAACCTGGTTGCAGCAGGATGATTATGTTAGTTTAAATGAATCAACACCCCCGAGTCATTCGGGGGTGTTGTCAGAACCCACCCACTCTGCTGTCTGATCATTTCCTGATAACATTTACATTTACAATAATTGATTACACAGCAGTGGGGAGTAGACTTTATCACAGTAGACGTCTTTCTGAAAGCGCTGTAACTAAGTTTAAGAATACTGAGTTAACTTCAATAATTACTTCCTCCAAACCATCAACGTGTCTTTTAGACCCCATTCCTACAAAACTGCTCAAAGAAGTCCTGCCATTAATTAATGCTTCGATCTTAAATATGATCAACCTATCTCTAATGATCGGCTATGTACCACAGGCCTTCAAGCTGGCTGTAGTTAAACCTTTACTCAAAAAGCATCTCTAGACCCAGCAGTCTTAGCTAATTATAGGCCAATCTCCAACCTTCCTTTATATCAAACATCCTTGAAAGAGTAGTTTGACTGTTTTAAATCAAAGACAATAAAATGCATTATTGGAGCTTTTTGTCTTTTAGAGGAGACATCATATCCTGGAGATAAATTCAGAGCGTTTAATAGGGCAGCGAACCCCGAGTGTAAATGTAATGTGTAGATGTTAGAGTTTGTGTCTTGAGCTCCACCCTGTGACCATCCGGAGGAGCTCTGCCCTGTGTGGTGTCAGCTGTGTGGAGTCTTACTGATGTCCTTCTTCCAGTTGCAGGGGATCTTGCAGGGAATCTTGTCGGTGCGATCTTTGCAGGTGGCATCTCTCACACCGTCCCCGCAGTCTCCGTGTTCAGGTATGCACTTCCCGTACCGAGTCTCTGCAGGGGAGCACTCGGAGGTCGTCCGGGACTTGTCATGCCTGCCTGCTGAGCAGAGAGTCAGTCAGACACCTGCAGCGGCTCAAACACGCTGACACAACATGGTTTAAACACACCGGAGGCCATTTTTCTGTTTCACGTTTTGTGGCCTCATAAAATGTTTTCATACAGAACGTTTTGCTTTGTTTCAGCTAAAGAGAAGAACAGGTTTGTACTTGTGGTTTAATTCCACCTGGATAACTGAACACTCTGATAAATTTAGCTTTTCTGCCTCTTAAAAGACGTTTCTGTTGAATCTGAAGAGTGTTTCTTTCTTTGATGTTTGTTTTGTGCTGACAGCGTGAGGTGAGGAGGGATTTTATAGCTCAGTCACACTGGAATAAAACTAGGACTTGTGACGAGGAACGATCTGTGATTGCACCGTCATCAACTGATTGCAAATAGTTGCCCAGAGGATGAACCTGCAACACTCTCACCCTCTGCACAGGTCAGGTCACCTGGTGGGAGGAAACCTGTCTCCAAACCGCCACGGCCCGCTCAGACACGTTTGCACATCGTTGCTGTGATGAAAACGACTCCGCTCACAGCAACGACATCACTGTCTGCTTCAGCTGGATGTTAACGTGAGCTTCTGCAGGTCGTTGCATTTGCATCTCTTTATGATCTCAAACAGATTTTTGTTTCCTGTTGTATTCCAGCCCGCTGCCTGTGCAGCTAGTCTTGGAAAAACCCGGAAACTATCCCAGTGGTGGTCAAACCACGGTTTTATACCGACATTAAAGTGCAGCGAGGTCATCAAATGTCATATTTAAATAGAGTGAGAGCTTACCCATATGGAAAAGATATATATAAATCTTATAAAGTTTGTATCTGTCTTGTGTGAAACTTGTATGAAAAGCATACAAGAGTGAAACCAGATATAAGATCCCTTGAAAAATTATATAATGAAACTTGTATGTTTTGGATACTTACTAAAACAATGTATGAAAGTGATGAGAAAGTGGCCACTTTGATGAGTAATCACATATAAGTTTTTACTATTTCTTTTCCGTATGGGGAGAGCTCCTGTACATCAGCATGAGACGCTGAGAACGGGCAGGTCAAACCTGGAAAAACAAATCTGTTGACAGACGAGCTCAGCTGCACCTGAAACACATCTTATTGTGTTTTTGTCCATTTCGTGAAACTTTTTCCCTCTTTAGTCTCCAGCAGCTCTCTGGACTGAATGCTTCACAGTCACTATACTCCAGTCATTTACACAAAGATCATTACTAAAGCAGAAGGGAAAGCTTTGCCTGAGTTAGTCTGGAATTTAAAGATGAAAACTGGTAAGAGCGTTTTTTGGATGTTTTCCGACAGGAAAAACTTGTTTTTCATGCTCGTTAACCTTTAATGCTTTACTTGAGTGCATGCCTACTGTGGTGACAGGCATTCCTGGGAATGCACTTTTTTAATGAAAGAAGAAAAAGAGAGACTTGACTTTCCCGCTGTGGTGACAGAACACGAAGGACAGCCACACCTTTGTGATGTTTGGCTCTTTTGCTGGCCTCAGCGGTGAGCGTCAGGGCCAGGAGCAGCAGCAGCGTCACTGAGAACAAACTTCGCATTCTGCAGAAACAAAAACACACTCACACTTACACATTATTCATCACAATACAACGTCAGTCAAACACAAGCAGTGAGAAAGAGGTGGACACCCTACAGCCAGAGGCCTGGACGCGCTGCCACGAACAACCACACCTTCCATTTGTTTCTAATGTTTGCAGCCCATCGGGTAAGAGCCACGCGGCGAGACAGAGACACGGAAAGGCTACAGCGAAGCCACAAAGAAGCACGAGAGCAACTACGCAGAAACACAAACACAGAATCACAGAGACACGAATCCACAGCCAAAATACAAAGAGCTGGAAAAGCAGGACTTCTGTCTGTGCTGAAACAGGAATGTGAGTTGAGTTGTGGTGTGTGTGCTGATCCGCAGCCTGGACGCGGGTCATCGAGCCAGATGGTTCAAACATTCAGACCAAACCAAATCTTTTCACCTCCTCCCGTATCACAGCGCCTCAGCCCAGTAATCTGGCTATTGTAGTGAGAGCAGCAGCAGTGGGATTATGAAAGTGGGCTAATGTATGCAGAAGCTGCTGTCAGAGCACACACACACTCGGCTGTTGTTTTGCACGTATCTGTGGTGTGCTGCAGGATTAGCACGTTCCTTTGGTGTTTGACGGCAGCGATCATCACACAGCAACAGCAGCCGTCGGCTCGGGGGACAAATGGAGAGCAGCCTCCAAAGAGAGAGAGTCAATTACCCAGAAGGCCCTGCTCTCCCTCGCTGCTGTCATTGTGCTGCGAGATGACAGACTCCTCTTTCAGCCTCCATTAAAGCAATGGTCCTCTTTCACATGTCAGCTGGCACAGCAAATCCTGCTCCTCTCGCTCCTCCTGCGGCCTTTTATGAGGAGAGAACCGGCTCTCAGCAGGTCTCCAGTCTGCCCCCCATCAATGAAGAGGAGGAGGAGGGGGAGGAGGAGGGAGGGGGCGACCGAGCAGCGTCTGAATGAGCTCTTTAGAGTTCCCCTCAAAAGAATACTGATTCATTGGCCCAAAACAAAGCCTCTTCTAGCCTGGTTTCATTTCTCTAAAGCCTAACACAGATTCTGTGCCACCCCCGAGGAGCCCCCTCCGCCCCCCGCCCTGAATGGAAACGTATTTGCATCAGAAAACAAAGAAAAGCAGTGGGATGCTCCCTCTGGTTCAGGAGCAGGGGCGACATCAGGAGAACTTCCTCCTGGATCTCGGGGTTCATTCTGGCATCCGGAGGCCGACCGGAGGCCGCGAGCACGAACCCCTCACCTGCCCGCAGCCAATCAGAGCGCACACAGGTGACTTGGAGAGAGACGCTCCAGACGAGTCAAAAACGTAAAGCTTTGAGTAAAACGAGCTTTCGTTCCGCTTCCTGTCTTTCTTCTGATTCCTTCGCTCCCGTTTCTGTCTCATGGCTTTGTTTCGGCTCCTTCCTTAATCCCTTGCTGCCTTTCCTTCCTTCACATTCAAGAGTAAACAAACAACAAGATTAAACAGAAGCTAAACAAACAAGCAAACAAACGCGTCGCCGATGAGCCGCAGCAGCAGAATCAACCTAAAGTGTGAAAACAGAAATGTGGGCACAAACGCGGACACTTACTTCGGGCTGGAGAGGAGCGGCCGGTCGCGCGGTGCAGTCTCGCTTTCTGTCGCTGCTTCAGCTGCAGCTCCCGAACAACCCCTCGCGTGCACGCGCACGCGCACGGTGACATCACACACTTTAATCCAGTCTCCAGGAACAAAACAAGCTCCGCTCATTTACATGAAATGCAGAATGTGTGCGTGAATGTTTGCGGAGTGGAGTGCGTGTCAGCCCACAGACGCGTGTCAGGTGACTTTCAGGTGAGTTTCAGGTGGAACGGCTTCTAGGAAACACTCGGTGTGGGTGAAAGGTCACGAGGCAACTCTTCTTAAAAAACAAAGAGAAACTGTTCGTGTTGCCAGCAGCAAGAAGGAATCTAACTACAAAAGTAATGGGATACTTTTTAAAAACATGACGATTTGAAACTTCTTGGGTCAGAGTGAACATGTTCCACAGCCTGATGGTGGCGCGCGTCTTTGTTCTGTGTGGTAACAGTAACCGTGGTGTTGCCTCTGACTGTAGCACAACAAAGGAAACGTGTAAGCTCGCGCTAACTGTGCACGAGCTGCCAGATGTTCAGCCCTTCTGAGGGGCAGCAGAGTGAAAGCCGAGCCGAGGCGCGCTGATGGCTCAGTCACGCGTGGAAGCCTTTGTTACGGTGCGCCAAAAACGGATTGCTCGTATTTAAACTGCTATAAGTAACTTGTTGGGCTATAACATGTGAAACATGTCAAATGCATCGCTTATGGATGACATAAAGTCATCTGGAGCCACAAACAACATCCGTGTAGAAGCTGCGATCAGTTTTTGGCAGCGACTTTTATCGAGCCTTTATTTATGCAGTTAAAAAAAATCTCATTAACATTAAAAACGTCTTTTGTCAGAGTAAGCTGACCAAGAGGGCAGAAGCGACATTACGATAGTTCAGTAAAAAACATTTTAAGTGGGGATACAGGAGCGGATTGGTTACAATGTCAGTACAATAACACAGCGTTATGAAGATAATTTTATTCTGTATAAAAGCTCTTTGTAAACGCTGTTCACCGAAGGCTGTTTACCAACATACGTAAAGATATTACACATAAAAAATACACAAAAACATTGGAAATCACTTTTTGGCACAACAACTGCAGCTGGAGAGGAAACCTGTGCTCCGTCAGGTCCTCCTCCGCCCTCGGGACTCCACGAGAGTTTAGTGTCAGTGGGTTTCTCTGCTGTTCTCTTTCACTTCTAACAGTCGTGAAACAGACTTTATTTCATCTGCGTGAACGGTGATTATGAGTCTGTGTGTAAAACACGAGTGTCCCTAATCGAAGTGTCAGACGCTTTATGACGTCCAGGTTTCTGAAGATTTCTCTTTATGTAAAAACGTTTCACTAAAGCAAAATCTCGGTGCTTTGGTGTTGTTTTTCTTATTGAACTGATTTGGTCAGATGTTAGACTAAAGCACAAAAAGAGCGAGGAGCTGTTCATCAGTAACGACCTAATAACACAATGATCGAGCTTTAAGAACAGCAGAAATGCTTTACAGGCCTCCGTGAGGCCGACAGAGTGCAGCGCCACCTTCAGGCGTCATCTGCAGAACGCTGATAGAGCATTGAGCATTTCTGACAGCTGATGCTGAGGGGAACACACACACTGAAAATAAAAGAGGATCCACGATGGACGCTTTCCTGTTTGGGTGCTAACGGCTCTCAGGTGAGGCAGAAGCACCAACCTCAGGCTGCAAACGCCGCTCAAGAAGCGGCTGAATTACTGTTAACAGCCCAGCTTTCGTCATGTTTCCTGTTCCTGGTGCCGGGAGCAGGTCGACGTTTCCAGCTGTGCTGACAAAGTCTGAACGTCTCAGTTTGTTGTGTTGCATTTTTTTCTTTGTCATGTTGGTTTTTCTCTGTCTTATGTTTTCTTTTTTTCAAATGGCTTTTTAAAAGTTGTGTCTTTGTTCTGTATCTTCAAAATATTATCATGTTTTTAATAAACTTCACATTATCAGTGAGACCTGCAGTGACTTCAGCCCATCCCAGGTTTGGGGGACAGCGCTCTGGTTCTTGCGGGCTCAGGTAAGCTGACACAGGTGGTGTTTTCTTCAGTGACGGGGCAGCCTGACACCTGAGGAGGAGGCGGGGTTAAAAACCACAGGTGAGTGCTGACAGGAAACAGACGCCCACTGGATGCAGCACAAAGCGTGAGATTGTGTTTTTGTTGTTGTTACTCGAGACTTCTGGTCCTCTTAGTGACGAAGTAACATAAACATGAACAAACCAATGATTATTTATGGGAATAAATGGGCGTGGAGAGTGTTGCTGACATGCTTTATTGCAGGTCACTCAGAAATGATCAAACCAAACAATTATTAGTTGAATATCATACAGCATCATGTCATCCTGCCTGCTATCTAAAGGTGATTATTAATCCTATGGCGTGACTGCTTTGGCAGAGCTTCAGCTTAACGTTTCCAACACTGACCAGTCTACCGGGCGTCTCAGCTATTTACACACATCACAGGAAGCATCGCACTTTACAGTCAGGTGACAAGTTACAAGAAATACGCTCGTATGTGACTAAAATCTCTAAAGTTCAGTTTGATCACAAACAAAATCTGTTACATCTCTACAAAGACTTCATAAATAAGCTGAGTGAGCCTAAGTTAAATATCCAAACACTTATTTCTGTCCAGTAAACAAATACATCCAAAAGGTCACTAGAAGCTTAAAGAAGACACGCTTGCAGCTTTTCTGTGATGCGGCGAAAGCGTTCAGCTGCAGATGGATGAAAGCCGCCACTGTTCGCCGTCGCACGTCTTCACGCGGAGGTCAGAGCGCTAATGTTCAGTCGATAAAGACGTATTCAAAATGCAGTTTGAGCCAGATCTGAGAGTCTTTGTGGCCTGAAGAGGAAACTAGTTTGACTTTGTTTTAGTGTCCAGGCGCGTTTACGCTGTTACGTTGGGTAGTTTGGAGGATTTTCAGGCGTTTGGACAAAAACACAACAATAACTCGCCCTGCCCCCGCACAGCAGACGAGAAGCACGACGCTGCCGTCTACGCCGAGACCCGGCGCCTCTCTGCAGAGGACGCAGATAAATACGAAGGAGGGCGGGAGGAGCGAGGTGTTCGGGAGGTCACACGGTCGTCTCCTGGTCCTCTCGCTGGATCATCTGGTAATGCTGGCAGCTCTTCAGATAATCAGCCAGCTCCGGGTCGCTGGCGTTGGCGGCGCGCTGCCTGGGAGTCTCCCCCTGAAAGAGACGAGCAGAGCTTTAAGAAAGCCGAGGGGCTCCACCGTCAGCTCCGTTACCTCCACGGTCACCTTTCAATAAGCTGCAAATAAAACCCTCAAATTTCACTCATCAAACTCTCAGTGTGACCTCACAGCGGACATCAGTGGTCACATGATGCGATTCAGCCGAGCAGACTACAGCCCCCTGGGTCACCATCCACCTGTCAGTCAAAGAGGCCACGCCCCTAATCCAGGTGAGTGATGAAAACGGGCGTAATGCAGGAGGAAATGATCTCTGGAGAACAGTTTGTGTATCGGGCTGCAAACACGCTGCCTCTGCTGGACGTCAGAGGAACTGCACAGCAGAAGGAGCGAAGGCTCCGAGCTGCTCGGTGCATCTAGACACTAAATAACACATGAACTCTTTTCCTCCTCTGGAGAGGAGAAGACAAAGAGAAACTCAGATTATGGGCTGCTTCCTGTTACCACTGGCTTCACCATGGCGACGGTGAGCCGTGGCCTTTTGTATGCGCCGGAGCGAGGCCGGGGGATCCCGCGGCGCTTCGTTTCTCAGTGACACACAACATTAATCACTGTATAGAAGTGGGTCAAATACTGCTGGAGATCCATTTAGAGCGCGGTGGCTGTGCTCCGGCCGGTGGCCGTCACTGCGCCTGAGAACGACACGCAAACGGCTTCGTGCAGCGGGAAGCTCGACCGATCACACCAACTCACATTCTTTGTGTCCACGAGCACAAAACGGAGCGCACGGAGGAACCAACCAGCGCAGAGCAGCAGCTGGGACGCCACATCGTGATTTGCAGACGCATGCGCTGCTTCATGTTGATTCGTCTCTTATTAAGCTCCTGCTCCGCTCTGGCACAGCTGATGTTCAGCTTCAGACACTGGGCCTCATTCACAAGCAGAAACCTGAACTCTAAACCACACACACACACACACACACACACACACACACACACACACACACACACACACACACACCGTGCACGGATGGCGAAGGCCCGGCTGTCATCTCTAAGCTCAGGGCGCCGCTGCAAACATAATGCAGCTTCACCCCGAGCCGCGCTGTTGTTCACTCAGCCAGCAGGAGGCGCTGCGCCGCCTGTTGTACCTGCGTCACCAGATAACGTTCTGCTTTTGTACGGATGCAAAGTACAGTTTTAAAAGCTTTGTTGTTTTTCCCGTTACACTCTGGCAACGGAGCGTCTTCAAAAGCTTCGATTGTCCAGATTGTCAGAGTTCCACTCGCTCCTCGCCGCCCTCCAGCAGGGTTTATAACGGATGCTGCTGTGGGGTCTGAGTGGGTGAAACACCTGCAGTGGGACTTTAAGTGTCTTCATGCTTCCAGCGCAGGAAAGGAACGCCACACTCCTAACACGCTCGACCTGCTATTAACTAGAGCAGGAGGGCAGGAAACCAGATCACACATTTTTCAAAATAAAACCAGCTGTTGCAGTTAATAATACAACAGCTTCCTGCCATTTTTGTGTTTCTTTTTATCGCTGTGTGACTGATTTCAATTGAAAGCCTGCGTGCGCTAGTACCTCTTGCCATGAGTTCCCAGAATCCTTTGCGGTTTTACCCCTTAATGACGTCACATTTTCAATCTCTATGGAAGCATGGACACGAAGTATCTCCTGCTTTACCTGTAGGTCTGTCTTCATGAGCGAAGCTCCGGCCTCCACCAGGTATTTACAGATGCTCCTCTGACAGGAAGTGGCGGCTTTATGGAGCGCCGTCTCCCCTCTGAAAGAAACAAGAACGAAAACACACATGAAGACGCCGAGCCTCGTCCAGCAGGAGAGGAATCGAATGGAGGAGAAGCTGACTCACGTCTCTTTCTCGGTGACATCCAGGTGGGACGTGGGCACTGAAAGCAGCGAGACAAACAGAGTCATCATCACAGACGAACATCAGAGCGCTTTAATGTGGTGGCGACAGCACGTGATGCTACGAGGAGCAGCTCGAGCTTGTGACTGGACAGTCGAAGTGGATCGACTCCTCGTTCCCTGTTTCCACGTTCGTACGACCTGATTTGACCCCACAAAGAAGCTACACCTGTGTGCACGACCACCTGCTGCTGGGGACGAAGAGGAGCAGCTCAGGGCTCACATACGAGAGCTACAGCAACGGGCAGGACGTGAGAGTGAGGCGTCTCAGGGTGACGAGCTCGGAGATGAGAAGGTCCAACTACACAAGTTTAGATTCTTACTTCAGTGACTGAAACTTTCTAGTTCGTACTTTGCTTCTAGTTTCTGATGAGAACCTCCAGAAACGCCCTGAAACGCGAGCGTTTCTCTAAATCACGGATCAGGTATGGCAGCTCTCTCCTGACCGTTATCTGAGGAGTCGAAGAACTCGTCCCGAGGACGAGCCGAGTGTAATAAAGGAGGAGCAGCGTGGCGTGAGGCTGGCGGCTCGGTCGCAGAGTGGAAATACCACAGCAGCCTCAGCCGTCTTTGCACACTCAGTCATCAGAATCAGGTTTCTTAACGTTTAGCCTTTATATACAAACGATTCGCTCACCGCTGTCGATGAGGTACTTGACGATGTCTTTGCAGCCGGCCTCCACGGCGTGATGCAGCAGCGTGCAGCCGTCTCCGTCTTGCAGCAGGAGGTCCGCCCCCTGTTGGTGGAGCTCTCGGAGCTGCACAGCAAATACAGCGATTTGTTCCAAAGTGCACATGCTCAGTAAACCGCTTTCCTCAATCAGAAATCAATACTCGTAACGATCAAGACGTCCACACTCACCCGGTCCAGGTTTTCCTTCTTGATGCAGCTGATCAGCTCTGCATCTGAAGAGCAGGAAACAGACACAAGGTTACACTTGTTTTCACTTTAAATTCACGCAGCAGAGTCCAGAACACAGCCTGTCAGCTCCCTCTGCTGGACAAGCGCTGGAACTGACGCTGAAGACTCACAGTGTTCAACAGCAGAACTGAGGAGGAGGAGGGTTTTTACCTTTTTCAGGGTCGTGTGAGGTAGCAGCAGGAGGTCTGTCAGTGAGAGAAGACACAGATAGGAGGTCATCAGATTGTCATGTGACAGAGGGAGGAGCTTAAATCTGAGGTGCAGGGTGATCGGGACAATCGGGGGCTTTGAAAGCCGCCCGCCTCGTGAACAGTTTCTTCTCGCACCGAGACATCATGAGGGGTGTCACGCCTGCACGTCTGTGCGTGTCCTCCTGGGATCAAACCGCTGCACACGCACAGCTAATCTGTCACTGTGTGTCAGCCAGGTCTGAGTCTGTGCAGCGGGGACACTCTCGTTATGGTCTTGCATTACAGCGAGCGTTCTGAGCACCTGCGGCGTCTTGCAGTTAAGCTGCGTCTTTTTATTCTGCAGAGCCACAGCCAATCAGAGAGCTGCACAAACAGACGCCAAAGCACCTCAGGCCACAGACTGTATAATAAAGATGGACATGGCTTCTGATATTATGATGAATGTCCAGGAGGGGGCGCTGACGTCACTCATTATGTAAATTATGGCTCTCATTAGCGTTAAAGAGGAGGAGGCTGGGCTGTTCTTATTGGCTAACAACCTGACATCACCATGACATCACAAACCAGGCACAAAAAAAAGCTGTGAAGCTGAAATGTTGGCAGGTGTGTGTGTGTGTGTGTGTGTGTGTGTGTGTGTGTGTGTGTGTGTGTGTGTGTGTGTGTGTGGATGATGAGGAGCTTCAGAGAAACAGCAGACAGGAAGCAGGTGGAGTCGTACCTAATGACGGGTCTGAAATCAGCCGCGGCCGTGTTGGAGCGATGCACATTGATAATCTTTGCTCCTCGCCTTTAGATCACAGACAACATGGACAGGTGACAGGTGAGTCAGCGGCAGCACATGGAAAACAAACAGCACCGGCATGTGGACACGAGGGCGCGTTCACACGCCGGTCACATGGCACATCTGGACTGGTGTTGGGTTTAATACAGGAACTTTGTACGACTTAACAAAGCATCAACCTCAACGAAGGAGTGAAGGAAACACGAAGCTTCTTTCAGCCAGTCTGACGAGAACGATGTGGACACACGAGTCTACCACAAACTGCAGCATCAAAGCCTTCATGGGGATAAAATGTTCAAAGTGCCAATTTAAAACGTACAAATTTGATGTATTAATGTTAGTAGACTCTTAATAAAAGATGGACGTAGGTGCGAGGGACACTGCAGGCTCAAGCCCCGCCCTGAACCCTCCCCTGCTCCTATTCGGCTCTGACGGGACCAAAATCACTGAGTCAAAGATCAGCGATCGTTATCTCACAGACCAGAGGAGTCGCCCCCTCCTGGACGTCACTTAGACTGCAGACGGCGTCCATCGTTTATATACAGGCTGTTATTAATGCAGGCGTGGGACCACTGTGCCGTGAAAAAAAGCAGACAGCGCAGTGGTCGAGCCAGCAGGGGGCGCTCTCATGGAACGAAGTATTCACATTTAAACTGCTCATTCCTGTTATTTGTGTTTACAGATATCAAACAGATTTCACTGAGCGGACCCGAGTATCAGCTGACTCTACAGGATCTGAGCACTTCCTCCAGCAGCAGGTGTGCGAGTGCGTGTTGCTACCTGCAGAGGGCGGTCTTAGAGGAGCTCTGAGTCAAAGCATCGACCACGGAGCTGTCGCTGGAGATCCTCTTCCTCTGATCTCGGGATCTGAAACAAACACAGCGCTGTTTTTATTCCTGCCCCCCATGATTGATTTCTGATCGTGATTCGAGTGGCGGCGGCGTCCCAGCGGGGAGCAGAGGGACGAGCAGCTCCATGGAAACGGCACTTCAAACACCAGGAGCTTATTTCAGGGCGAAAAGCTGCAGTTCCTCTGACATCCAGCAGAGGCAGCAGCGAGTTAAGGTAAACACACAAACTGTTCGGTCCCCGTAGATCACATCTTCTCTCACCTGTGTGACGAGGTAGGGGAGGTGGGGGAGGGCGGCGAGCAGGGGAAGGCGAACTGCTGGTCTTGGTGCTCCTCCGAGTCCACCAGGTCGGGCATGCTGGGGGAGGTGCCCACCGTCTCCTTGGAGACCAGCTCCGGGTCCAGGATGTAGAGCTCCTCCTGAGAGATCTCCGTCACGTAGTTCAGGTGCTCCTGAAACAAATGACACATCAGGACACACCTGGCTGCAGCTCATCCATCATCACTGCCAGAAGAAAGAAAGCTGCACCAATCAGCAGGTGCAGTCTGCTAATCTGAAGGCCGGCGGTTCGATTCCCGTCTGCATCCATCATCCGTGGACGCACTCAGACATAGAAAAGCATGGATGTGCGACTCCACCTCGCCACAGTAAAGGTGCGTTCCTACCTGAGCCCGGTCGATCCTGTAGAAACGATCCGCCGTCGTGCCTGAAAGACAAAGAGAGCGCGTTTGGGCAGGTCGGGGTCTGTGCGCAAACGGAGGAGGTCGGCTCGGACTTACAGTCGAGGAAGCACCACTTCATGGAGAGCTTGTGTGAGGACAGACTCTCGCCTTTCATCGCCTCGCCGTCCTGGAGGAGCAGAAAGAGAAGTGTGAAAGGCACCGCCGCACAGAGCCGACACCACAGACTCACTTTTACATTTCACGGGAGGAGCAGAGGGAAACTGTCCAAATGTAATCAAATAACAGTGAGAGCCTCCATCAGACTCTTCGTACCGAGAGCCCCACCTCTCCTGACCGATGGCACACTCGTGCTGCAGGACGGCGAGCTGCTGTTCGTCTGTGCAGCTTTTCTCGGTTGGTGTTGGGTCACAGCTGAGGTTTATTACAAACAACACAGTCAGCCACTTCCCCTTACACCGCGCCCTGATGCTCCTCGCTATCAGTGTCTGATGTGTCACGCCGTGACAAGTTTCACCCTCTCAGAGCAGCCCGACGGGTCGCTCGCACCGCAGGAAGTACGATGGAGGAAGGATCTGCAGTTTTTTTGCTTTTGGCAAACAGTTGCACGTAGAGGTCGACTAAACCCCCCCAGCCTGTGGATGGTGAGGTGATTTCACAGGTGACAGGTAAGCTGTCCCAACGATCGCAGTCTGAGCGCTAAAGGTCGTCTCATTTTTAAATTGCCAACACGTCACAATTAAGTCGGTCGGCTCACGTCAGCTGTTATATTCTCATATAAAAGCTGCCAGGTATCTGTGTCATTCTGCAGTCTTTTAAATATGAATCAGTAGATTAATGATTACTCCTCCTGCCCACAACGCTGTACCTGCTCCAGGTTGTCCTGCAGACGGTCGATGTGCAGGCGGCAGGTCTCCAGATCGCTGTCTCCGGGGACGGTGATGACTCCCAGCGGCAAAGCTCCAGGAAACATAAAGGTCAAAGTGAGAAACGTGCAGCATGTGCTTGGTTTCTGCTTTGAAACAACAACAAGTGACTCATGATAGTGGAAACAGTCTGTCTCTTTCACTGAGGCACTTTAAAGACCATCAACAGTAACTGGTTTGAGGACTGAACCAGCAGGGTCCCAGTCCGATGAAACCAACGTGCCCCAAACACAGTAAACACAGTTAAACATGCATTTGACTGGAAGCACTGCTGCTACTTTGCAGATAACCAGTCCTTCACACTTACACGCCTCCTTCAGCTGATCTTTGTCATAATGCAGGGCCTCGTACGCCGCCATGCTGATCCGGTTCACCCTGATCTGGAGCTTCTCTGGAACGGGCTGCTGACTGCACACAAGCACGCCATCATTCAGTCACCGAACACGAACTGAGATCATCTGATTCATTTAAGCCGCTTGCATCATCTGCATACGCGTGATGGTATTTATCTACAGCGTAAATAGAAGTGGGCTGAAGCGAGCCCTGTGGACTCCATCGCTAATAGCAGCTATGACAGTCTGCTCAGTACTTCCTGTTACTGCGACTGCCAATGAGAGCAAAGGAATCTACTGAGCGACCAATGAAAGGTCGGTCAGTGCGCACACCAGACGTACTCATTGAGATGGGGCATGGAGATCCTCCTCTTGGCCTTCTGCACCATGTTGGCCTGGTTGCGCAGACTGATGTGAATGACGGACGGTGCCAGCTTGCAGGGCTCGCCGTCCACCTGCATGGGGATGGACTTAAAGGTGGTGAGGGTCACTTCCTTACACTGGTGGAGGCGTTCGCCATGACCGCCCACCTGGAGGGTGGCCTGCAGACAAACGAGCAAAGATTTAACTGGACCAAACGAGCGTTTACATCAGTAAACGTATGTCTGTGACGGGGCACGGTGTGGTCTGATGTGGTGTTTGTAGGTTACGCCGTCTGCGGCTGCACGCTCACCAGAGACGTCATGGTGAAGCCGATGACCTCGATGCAGCCGTCGTCATGCCGCTGAGGCTCAAAGTCCTGATGTTCGCTGGGGTTGCCCCACGGCGTGGTGCCAGCACAGTACCTGCAGCAGGTAGACAAACCAAGCGCGCACTCGTACTTTAACACAGCATTTCCAGTTTATCTACTGGCTGGGTTCCACCGAGGGAGACGGTGTGCATGTGGAAGATGTTTGTTAGCAGGCTGAAGACGTACCTGGGGATGTTGAGGAAGAGCAGACACTGCAGCTTCAGGTCCTGGACTTTGGCTGTGAGGTCCGTCCCGTCACACTGAGGAGGAAGGAAACGAGGATTTATAAAGGAGCGCGCTGCTCCGCGTGCTTCCTGCCACAGCCGTGAGCTGCAGAGGCTTGAGAAACTCTCTCGTTCAAATGTCGTCACGTGTCGCTCCAAAAAACCCAGAAACTCAAGATTCAAACGCCACATCCCAGCAGGTGGTGTTAGTGCGGCTACAGCCATCTTTATCCGCAGTCCATGCATAAAGTAAAACTTTCACACGTCATTGCTGGGTCACGCTGCGGTGCATCACAGGCACTGACTGGTTGTCATCGGCCGTAACGAGCTCGCTCACCTGTAACGACGCTCAGTCACACCTGTGTTTAAGCTTTTCAGCCCGACTCACCACCACTCTGATGTGCTTGGCGAGGTCTTTGGAGCTCCCGCTCAGAAAGTCTGAGAAGGCTGTCTGAAACAGACACGCACGCACATCAGAAACATGTTTACGTGTGAACGACCAGCACAGCAGCCGCACGAGGACACACTCACCCCTGCGTAGAACATCTTATTCCTGAAGCGGCTGTTAAACTTCTCGGGGTTCGCCTCTGAAAAGATCAAAGCAACAGTTTGAAACAGACCCCACAGCACCGACCCCCCCCAAACCACACAGCTGGACTCATTTCACAGGATTTGATTCTGGTCAGATTTTTAATGATCACATGAGACATAAACAGCTGTTAGCGGATGTTTTATGGTCCTGGAAGAAGATTAAAGGTGCAGGAAAAATACTGCTGATGAGTCCAGATGTTCTGAGTAGGCCTGGAAACTAGTGAAAGGCTTTTATTGTGTAGAGACACAGGTACCAGCTCACAGGTGTGAAACTGGCTCCGTGCACCGCTGTTCTCTAGCCTGTAGGGGGAGTGAGCGTCACCCAGAGTACAGAGCCCCCTGACAGGCTGCTGACTTCCTGTGAAGAAACAGGAAGTTACATTTCTAACCAGTGAAAGTACAGCAATGGTAAAGACAGCGCTGTAACTCAGCTCTGCTACAAAGCTGATAAACAACACGAGAGGTCAAAGGTTACAGGAGGTTTTAAATCCAACATTCCCGTCTGTTGGAGGAGGTGGATTTTACTCCCAGCTGAGTCACTCTGATCAGAGGAGGATTCGAGCTGCCACCCTGAATGCCACACCTGTGGACCTGCCACACCTGTGGACCTGCCACACCTGTGGCAGTTTCCTGTGTGTCACCGCCGGTTCGAAAGGTGATTAAACGGCCCATCGCAGAGCTGCGTACTCTCAGGTCAAACTCATTCTACACGCTGGGTCACAGGCTGACGGCGAGCGACCGGTGCTCGGAAGACTATCAGCCAATCAAAGATCAGCATGAGGGATCTTTGACGGCTGGTTGGTGAGATGTCGTTAAGCAGTTTTCACTTCCTCATTTGTCTTTGTGGTCATCTCGTTTCTATATTCCCAGTCTCAGACACAAAGTCGTAAGACGTCCTCGCGGTAACGCGTCTGTCTGCACAGACCTTTGAATTAAAGCTGGCAGTCTCTGCTTTGGGCCCTCAGTCAACACATGAACGTCCCGCTGTAAAAGCCGCCCACGAAGAAGAGCCTGCAGAGTACTCGAGTACAGAGCCAGCTCGTGTGCTGAACATCGATCCGAGCGATTCGATCCCGACCCAGAAGAAACGGGAATGAGTTCTGTATTTCTGACTTTATTGACCCCTGACCTTTGAGATGTCCAGCCTGACAGAGGGTAAAACCTTCGACCTCGTCGGCCCGGGTTCTTGTCCCGTCCTGCTTTCACACTTTGCGACAGTGGGGCAGAAGAAGGTCCTTTTAGCAGGAAGAGACACCCAGCAGGACCGGCTTCTTTACTGCTTTGGCATTTTAGCCATTAACTTATTCCATCCATCCATCCATTCGCTTCCGCTTATCCTTTTCAGGGTCGCGGGGGGCGCTGGAGCCTATCCCAGCTGTCATAGGGCGAGAGGCGGGGTACACCCTGGACAGGTCGCCAGTCTGTCGCAGGGCTCCATTAACTTATCATCTGTGTTATTTGAATGCCCCACAGAGGAGCGGAGGACGCCACAGCCACACTCGCTCTTCATAACTTGTTAACCTACAAACGTGGAGCGGCGCCATGCCGGAGTCTCTTTACATCAGTAATAATCCTGTTAGAGAGTCATGCTCCACAAGGGGGCGCCCTGTCCCCGTTTTTGTTTGTTCTTCAGCGTGTGGGAACAGGTTTGGTGCTAGAACCATTTTAAAGTACGGATGCAAACTGTGACACAGTCATCGTGCATCTTTTATTAAACCAGCCGTGGACACGCTGTCAGGGGGAGGGGACAGCTCAACTATCAAAGACATGATGGTGGATTTCAGGACGCGCCTGTGAGCGTACTGACCTCTGGATTCATGGAAGCCCAGCGTGACGTGAGCGTCGAAGCCCAGACTGAAGTAGTTGTTGAAGACGTCGATGGGGAGCTGAAAGGAAGCAGCAGAATGAAACAGACCGTCAGATCCTCCTCGGGTGGGCGTCGGCTCTCGCAGGTGGGCGTTAAACTCACCTTGTCTGTCTGGTGTTCGTCCCGGTCCTCGGGCCGCGCCTCTGGGTTTGCCTCCACGTTCAGGTTCCATCGGTCCAGCTGCACGATGTTGCCGTCCTCCACGTGCGAGAGGATCTTCGTTATCGGTTCGTCGGTGTAGCCCTGGGAGAAGAAGAGGAAGAGGACGAGTTACACAAGGAGCAACGCTGGCTCCTATTTTCACAGAAGAAGAAGCAGCGTTCACACAATGATCCACACGTGACGATTTTCTTACACGAGTCCTCTGAGTGAACGTGCTTCAGCATTAAACTGCAGTGAAGCTTCTCCACTTTTATGATTAAGCTGAATTTTTATGAACCTTCACAAAACAACCTGCAGTTCTTCTGACGCCCAGCAGAGGCAGCAGTGAGTCAGTCCCATGTTAAAAACTGTTGGTCCCCACAGCTAATGTGCATAACACCTGTACTCATACGTTCATCTTTAAATTATATTCAATTCAATTTTATTTATGTTGCAACAAATCACAGGCGCCTTATATTGTAAGGTAAAGCACAGAGAACACCCCAATAATCAGACGACCCCCTGTGAGCAAGCACTTTGGCCACAGTGGGAAAGAAAAACTCCCTTTCCTTCTAACAGGAAGAAACCTCCAGCAGATCCAGGATCAGGGCAGCCGTGTGCCGGTTGGGGGTGACAGGATGGAGACAGGACGTATTTCAGGGGCCTGGAGAGGCTAAAGTGGCTTGCTGCAGACGGAGCAGCTACACTGAGGCCCGGTGTCATAAAAAGAAAGATTATTCTGACTGTGAACCATGCAAAGCTGCTCTGGAGCCCAAGAATGAGAACAAACTGGAAATGATCAGAAGTGGTGGTGGAGCTAACTTACTCCTCCCCAGTTCAGAGTCCTTGCCAGGTCGTTGCCAGTCCCCAGTGGCAGGATGGCCACAGGAGGCTGAGGGCGGAGCTTCAGCTGATCCAAAACAGACAGGATCCACCCCACCTGCACACACACAGACACGCTGATGACAAACCATCATCTGTTGGTTAAATACTGGTGAGGAATAAAGCGTCTGTGACTCACGGTGCCGTCCCCCCCGCAGGCCAGGATCCGCAGGTTGGGCACTTTGGCGTACAGCTCCAGCCTGCAGGAAACACGACAGATTTTAAAATGTGAGTGCAGGACAGAGGAGGAAGCTGAGGGAGGAAGGTGGAGGCAGACTGCACAGATGAGAACAAAGAACAAAATCGTACGCTGAAGCGTTGTTAGAGTTTCTTTTCAGTTTAGAATGAACTGAACGGATGGAGAGAGGCCAACAAATCTAAGGCCACTGAGGGAGTGCAGGGTGAAGCGGTGGTGACACGATTAGAGCGCGCTGCAGGTATCGCAGGTGCTGCGCTGGATCATATCTATCTGACAGCCTCAGTCCACTTTACAGTGGGGCAAAAAAGTATTTAGTCAGCCACCGATTGTGCAAGTTCCCCCACTTAAAATGATGACAGAGGTCAGTAATTTGCACCAGAGGTACACTTCAACTGTGAGAGACAGAATGTGAAAAAGAATCCATGAATCCACATGGTAGGATTTGTAAAGAATTTATTCGTAAATCAGGGTGGAAAATAAGTATTTGGTCACCTCAAACAAGGAAAATCTCTGGCTCTCACAGACCTGTAACGTCTTCTGTAAGAAGCTTTTCTGTCCCCCACTCGTTACCTGTATGAATGGCACCTGTTTGAACTCATCATCTGTATAAAAGACACCTGTCCACAGCCTCAAACAGTCAGACTCCAAACTCCGCCATGGCCAAGACCAAAGAGCTTTCGAAGGACACCAGGAAAAGTATTGTAGACCTGCACCAGACTGGGAAGAGTGAATCTACAATAGGCAAGCAGCTTGGTGTGAAAAAATCAACTGTGGGAGCAATCATCAGAAATGGAAGACATACAAGACCACTGATAATCTCCCTCGATCTGGGGCTCCACGCAAGATCTCATCCCGTGGGGTCAAAATGATCATGAGAACGGTGAGCAAAGATCCCAGAACCACACGGGGGGACCTGGTGAATGACCTGCAGAGAGCTGGGACCAAAGTAACAAAGGTCACCATCAGTAACACACTACAACGGCAGGGAATCAAATCCCGCAGTGCCAGACGTGTTCCGCTGCTGAAGCCAGTGCATGTCCAGGCCCCGGCGACAGCGGGAAGGAAAAACTCCTTTTAACAGGAAGAAACCTCCAGCAGGCTCAGGGAGGGGCCATCTGCTGCGACCAGCTGGGCGTGAGGGGAGGGCGACAGGACAGAAGACCCGAGTGTTGGAATCACATGACAGGTTTTCATCAGTTAAGCTTCATTCGATTTAGGCTCCGCCCTCCTATCCACTCAGCTACCTGTGCTCTCTGCGTGTCTCTTTTGGACCTTTTTCAGGTCGTCACGTCTCCCCAGAACATGATGCACCACCACTAAAGGTCAAAGGTTAGCACAGCAGCTGAGTTTACAATGCCAAACCGTTACGATGTCAAAGTTCATCCTCATTGCCCCACGATGTGCTCGGTCTAACTGAAGCGGTGAGGTCAGAGGTCACAGGATACGAGTGGGCAGTCTCACCCCTCTTTGGGCCCGCCCTTCGTCAGGTCGAACACCTGCCGCGGGTTCAGGTACCACATGAAGGACTGGATGATCTTTGCTCCCTGAGAGGAGAAGACAGAAACAGGTGTTTGATGAGAAGCTGGAGGAAACGATCCAAAACACAGGAGTCACATGACCGCCCAGCGCCGCTCTGCGTCTGCCTTTTGGGCTTCGGGTTCGCCGTGCAGTGCATTCTGGTCATTTTCCTACTTCTGTGAGTGATTGGAGGATGACCGTACCTGGTTCCCACCGCTCTTTGGGTTCACAAACACCAGCAGAGGCTTCATGAGCTGAGAGGGGAGGGGCTTCACCAGGAAGGGCTTCCAGCGGCCATCTTGGACCTGAGAACCAAAAGAAAGGTTAACGCATGAGCCCCAACGCCGTGAACAGACGTGACCCTCAGAGCTCTCAGTCTGACCTCTAACAGCTTAAACCAATCAGCTGTCAGGATCAAAACAACGATGACGTCACTTCCTCACCTCTCCGCCCTTCTTGCTCGCCTTGTTAGACTTCAGTGACGTCCTCTTCTTCTTCTTACTGGACTTCAGCGACGACTGCAGACAGGACAGAGACATCAGCGTGTGTGTGTGTGTGCGCGTGCGCGTGTGTTTGTGTGTGTTTGTACCTGTGGCCTGCGGACCCTGATGATCCAGGTGGGCGGTACGATGACTGCGGCGTGAGCGCCCAGAGAGCAGCACTCCTCGATCTGCTGCAGCATGAAGCAGGTCACCTTGTTGTGATACTGAAACACAAACAGGAAGTCAGCTGAGAGCGTCATCCAGCACCTGCACGATCGCGGCGTCGGGCCGGGACGGTCGGTTTGGCTCGTTGGCCTTTCTCAGTGAACTTTGAACCTGAACAGATGAAAGCGAGCACTCACCGCCTGTTTGCACCACGAGCAGCTGATGGCGACGATCTCTTTGCTGTGGAAGGCAAACTTCTGCTGAAAGCCCTGTGGGTGAGACAGGACTCAGGTTAACCTGCATCTCGTCTTCAGCGTTTCCTTCCTGTGTGCCGTCTTCATCGCTCACGCTGCGTCGTTCTCATAAGCCATCATTTATTCGTTTCTTTGCCTCTGTTACCTCAAACTTGAGTCAGCTCCAAAGCTTCTGACCTCAGTTTGAAATAAGAAGCTGTTTTTAAACCAGGGGTATTAAACATCAGGCCCGGGGGCCAGCATTGGCCCAGTAAAGACTCCAACCCGGTCAGCTGGACGGTTTTGGGGAACACCAACGTAATGAAGGCTCAAATAAACAGTTTTGTCATCATCTTCTCGGCTCTGTTTGTTTTTCAACATAAACAACAAAAAAGCCGTTCGACGGCGAGCGGACGCTCACCTTCCCGCACTGTCGACACTTGCCCGCCTGGCGCCTCCGGTGGACCCAGTGGTGCCGGACGACGTTGGACTGAAAGACAACAGCTGGTTAACAGAACTCGTCTCTGCACAGCATTCAGGCTTTAAAGAATCTGCTCTCACTGACCTCTCGCACGGCTCGACATCCGGGTTCCCTGAACGACGGCTTGCACCTGAAATTAATCTGAACACAGGAGACGTGAGGAGAGGAAACAGGAAACACCCGAGGGCGTAAATCCAAAGCGGCGCCTCGGCTTTTACCTTCTCCAGCTGCTCCAAGCACACGGTGTGCACCGAGATCTTACACCCGGCGCATTTCTTCCTCCCTTTGTCTGTTTGCTGCAGACAAACATCAGATTTACTCATTTACTGTAATGTGACAAAATGTGGGAAAGTTCAAGGGGGACAAATACTTTTGCAAGCCTCTGTGAACAGCATCAAGTCACAGATACAGTCGCCTCAATGCGCCTTATATTGTAAGGTAGACGCTACAAAACCCCCAAATCATCCCCTGTGAGCAACAGTGGCGACAGTGGGAAGGAAAAACTCCCTTTTAACAGGAAGAAACCTCCAACAGAGAGGGGCGGGTCCATCGGTTGGGGTGAGAGAAGGAAGATGATTTGTTAAACACAAACTGGCGTCATCAGTGAGGAAAAGCATTTTTCCTGGCGGTGGGCGGACTCACCAGAGACTTGGCGATGCAGTACTGCTCTCCAACATAGCAGAAGTCTCCGGAGACACTGGTCTCAAACCAGATGTGGTCGCCGTACTGGGCGTTATCCTGTGACAGAAACACAGCAGCTTCAAGGTGAAAACCAAACGCTTCAGCGCAGCAGGACAGATGTGCACAGCGACGTGTTCCTCGTGGCGAGCTACGGTGGGGAAAACGGATCGATCCCTGCCGGATGTGCACGTCTGCTCACAGAGAAATGAACGCTGGGATTTTATTTAAAGGAAAAAGACAGAAAATCAACCTAAAGGTTAAACATCTACATATCCTGGCTGTGTGCACATGCATTACAATCAGCCAATCACAGATCACCATCAGGTGCGTGCTGCACACCTGCACGAGGCTGGAATAAACTATGGGACAGTCAGCAGGAAGCTCGGGGAGGAGGTGAAGCTGCTGCTGTGATTATTCAGAAATGGAAGAAATATAAACCATGAGTCTCCTCGGTCTGAGCTCCATGAGGTGAGGATGATAAAGATGGTGGATCACCCCGACGCTACACGGGAGGAGCTCGTTATTGACCTGATCGAACATTTATTGTGTCTGGACCAGAAGAAACGTGTTCGTCTGGAGGAACTGTTTAAATCTGCGCAGAGAGCGAGCTGATGAGGCGACTCACGCTCCAGTCGACGGTGCTGCTCGGCTCCTGCGGCGACTCGCTCGCATCGGACGTCGACACGTTGGCCGGAGTCCCGGCGTGCTGTGCGCCCGACTTCGAGATGGCTTTTCTGCAAAGACAAGAGACCAGGAGAGCTTTGAAGAAGCGGCTCTGCTTTCAGAAACAGTGTTCATAAAGTGTTCAGAGACATGATTTCACACAGGAGAGCGCTCAGAGAGCAGAGATGCTGGAGGAGGAGCCACGCCTCCTCTGGGCTGTTTGGGTTTCAAATGTTCATAAACACACGTCGGCTGCATCCATGTGAGTGACATCTGATCTGAACCCACTGTGAAACTTTCAGGGTAGATTATCTGTGCCTGCAGGGGCTAAATGAGGCCACGCCCACAGTTTGATCCTAAATGATACTTCCTGTTAGCTTAAAAAGCTAACAGCGCAGGTTCCTGAGCTCTGATTGGACAACACTGAGCACAGTGTCTCTACTCTTCTAAGATGTTAGGCACACACACACACACACACAGACACAGACACACACACACACACACACACACACACACACACACACA